ATATATATATATATATATATATATATACCCTTTTTGTGAATTATAGAAGAAGTCATTTTCCTCCCCGAAGTTTATTATATAACGACTGTAAGGAGGTGAAATGCAGAATAAGAACAAAGCTTGATGTTTCTCATTAATAATTCATCCATATTTCTCAAACCTCAAATGATGAAAGTAAATTTATTTATAATTTATTTAATTGAACATACCTTTTTGCATGCGAAACAAATTGAGTGTTTACTTCATATAGAGTTTGTTGTTGCTGCTTTTGGCCATTGTGTAAGGTCTCCAATTTGAGGTACTAACCTGCAGTGTTTGTTTTCTCTAAAGACCTTTGTAGTGTCCACTTCCACCAAACACAACTAAATCGCTAATTACGGTCTTCTTATCCAGCCAATGAATGTCTTCGTAAGTCTTTGAGGACTAAAACTACACCCTGATTTTTCAAAGCCCAAAACTCTGAGCCTTGAAATCTATTGATCTCACTTTATGGTCATTGTATACCTAAAATTTTTGCTTTGATACTCGTGCTTGGCAAGAGTACTTAATTTTTTTGCCACAAAAGTTTCAACCCAGGGGCAAGGACAATGAATCATATACCACTTACAAGGGTGATTAAGCATTGCCAAAAAGAACATATACATGGTTCTTCTTAAACAAACCTATATTCACTTGAGAGGGGAGATGGTCTATTCCACTAACAAAAAAGCTAAAATTGTGGCGTACAATAAAAAGACATTTTCCTCATCTTTCCAAAACCTATGTACACCATGGCCGATACCGTTCTAAGGTTCTTAGAAGGTGTTTAGGAAGCAGCTTTAGCAGGGAGCTGATTGTGAAATAGCATGGGAATGATGATAGGGGCGATCAACGATGTTGAAAAGGGGATATGGGTTGAAATCTGTTGCCCAACAGCAGATTTGGGCTGTTCGGTGGCTGTCTCTGTTGAAAAAAGTGGGGTTTACGGCGAAACAGGGTGGTACAGGCAGTGAGGAGGAAATAACCTAACAAAAGTCTGAAAAAATAGAAAACACGTGATATAAAAATTTCCCTCATAGGAAATAACCTAATTAGAAAAGGTGAAATAAAAATAAATAAAAAAAGAAAAAAATATGCGAAATCTTGGCATTTCCACACCCCCAACCCCACCTCCCACACACTACGTTTGAATCCTTGATCGCAATAGGGATTCCTCGGTATTGCAGAGTTGCCGTGGTTGGGATTGCTAATACCGTATTTCTGGTTGGACACTCTTGCGTCAATAGCTTAAAAAACAATCCCAAAAAAAAGGTGGAGAAAAAGAGAAGCCCCGTGCCTTACAAGTTAAGATAAACATAACTTGATAGAGAATTACAAAGGATGATTGATCAGAAGTTTGAAATTCACCTACTTCTAAAGTTTCTCAAAAAGGGTGCACTATAATTTGGTTGAAATGATACTAGAAAATTTCTGAAATTAACATCTTGTGATTTCCTTCTATTTATGGCTCCTCCTCCTCTGCTTCTTCACAAAATACACAAGATGATTTTATACTTTGATACAAACTATATTTCAACGCATCAATTTATATTGTCAACAATCTGATTCAAGGCTACCTAACTTACGCAAAATTTTCTAACATCTTTTCATGCTTTTATGCTAGTGGTTGAGAGTCAACTCCTTATTTGATTCATACATGAATATCGAGTCAATGCACCTTCTTCAGATTTCACACAAGAAGTTTAAAACTTAACTCACCATATAATTCTTGCATGATATTGAATTGATGCCTGACTTTAAGTTCTCTTGTTAATCACTCATATATTCATATGTTTTATGTCTAATTTTCTGGTCCGCAAACAGGAATTAATGTGCTGGCAGGTGTTGGTCTTATTTCCTTACCGTATACAATCAGAGAGGCTGGGTGGATTGGGCTGGCATTCTTGGGTCTTTTTGCAATGGTTTGCTGCTACACTGGATTTCTTTTGAAATACTGTTTTGAGAGCAAAGAAGGCATATTAAGCTACCCTGATATTGGAGAAGCTGCATTTGGGAAATATGGGCGAATTTTAGTATCGGTGAGTTCTTAATTATTTAATGGAATTTTATGAGTTGATTGGAAGCAGAAAGCATGAATGAAATTAGGTTTATATTGCATCATGTCCTTGAGTATGTGCACTTGCTATTGTTTTCATGCAGTAAATTGGTACTAGAGTAATCTATATTCATCTTAATCTACAACCATTAAAACATTCGGCTCAGGAACGTACTGACATGAATTTCACCCTTAAAGGATAGACGGTGATGTGGGGAGAAGATGTGGGGAGAAATCTCATCTACTCATCTATTTTTTTTTTTTCTTTGCTTCATATTTTTTAGCAGTAAATTTAATTTGCTTTTTAAATTATTTTAACTCTTCAAATTGTATTTTCTAACTTGTTTTTAAGCATAATATTGTCTTCCTTCTGGAATACAAAAATTAAGGCACATAAAATAATTTGATGCTAAAATGTTCGAAGGATTCCAACCGAGTACCTCTCTTTTACAAATGATGGACTTGACGTTAATCTGTACAATTATTTGTAATGTGATTCATATGCAGCATTTTTTGAAACCACTGCTAGAAACGAAGAAACTGCTAAAATTTGGTTAGAAAGTATTTATACAGTTTCCAACAATTGGAATACGACATTTTCCTGCCACAATACAATAGCCTTGTGATGTTTTGTTTAAGAAACCTTTTTTTTTGGGTCAATTGATGGTGAAAAAATCTTGCTTATTGTTCATATCTAGAAATGAGTAGATTTGCATCTTAATGTTTTTGTTTGATCTAAATGTGTGAACTTTAAAAATTTATTAGAGTGGTTAATTTTTTTTTACTTCAACGGGCCAATATTGACACTTATTGGCTATAATTTTCTTCATTAGGAATAGTCGTCATCATTTTGTCTATCTATTCATGTACTATTTGGGATTCAGCCTTAGAGGTGTTACTGCTATTTTGGAAATTATTTTTGCCCTACTTAAGTCATCTTTTCTCGACTTCTTTCTCTTGTTATTTTCTCATAAAACTTAATTTTAGAATTAGAAAATGATTGTTACAACAGGGCAATTAGCCAGACTTATAAATTTATTTAAATGTATATGCTGTACATATTTTTTATTTATAATACTATTTAATAATAATGTATTTTAAAATATATAAGAAATATAAATTAAAATTTTTATCAATATTTTGAAGCACTAAATAAGTTGAATTAAAAACGTAATATAAATTATAACTAAAAACATAATTAATATAAATAAAATGTTATAATGAATTATATTAAAATTAAAGTATTTATAAAATGTGCCAACAAAAATATTTTAAAAATTAATGAAAAATCACATAAAAATAACTCAGTTTAAAGCTCATGATCAAGCTTTAATATATGCTATTTACCTAAAACTCAAAATAAATTATAGCTAAAAATTTAATTTAAATAAAAACAACAACAACAACAAAGCCTTAATCCCACTACGTGGGGTCGGCTACATGAATCCTTTTTCTCCATTGCGTCCTATTTAGTGTCATATTTTCATTTAGTTCTAGTAAATTAAGATCATTTTTAATACAATAAGCCCAAGTCTTCCTAGGTCTACCTCTGTCTTTCTTAACACAAGTCGAATCTAAAACATCTACTCTCCTAATCGGATCATCTGATGGTTCACGTTTAATGTGACCAAACCATCTAAGACGACTTTCTCTAATTTTGTCTATCACGGGAGCTACACCAACCCTATCACGAATATATTCATTCCGCATTTTGTCTCTAAGTGTAAAGCCACTCATCCACCTAATTATTCTCATATTGGCAACACTTAACTTATTATTATGCTTCTCTTTTAAAGGCCAACATTCAGCGCCATAGAGCATTGCAGGTCTCACCACCGTCTTATAAAATTTTTCTTTCAGTCTTAGCGGTACTTTTCTATCACACAAAAGGCACACCAACTAATTTTATTTGTAAATACTTTTTCTTTTTATTCTCCAAGCATATCTTTTGCTACTTGTTTAATAGTGTTTGTTAGTTTATCCCACATCACATTTGCTTTTTCATGAATATCCCAAATTTTGAAATCTTGAATTTTACTCATAAAAATTATTTTATTTGTTTATTTTAAGTTTCTTCATCTAATTCTGCAATGATGAGTCCTAGTATTTTTTATTTTACAACTCTTAATCTTAAAATCTAAAACTAATAAACGATGTTGAGTACTTAAACTTTCACTTGGAATGACCTTACAATCTTTACAATCGCCACGATCTCTTCTTCTCATAAGAAAATAATCAATTTGTGTTTTATTAGATCCACTCTTATAAGTAATAAGATGTTCATCTCTTTTCTTGAATAAAGTATTAGTAATAACAAAATTATACGCTAAAGCAAAATCTAAAAATAACTCTACCTTCTTTATTAGTTACTCCAAAACCGTAGGCACCATGAATATTTCTGAAATCTTCTACCACTCTACCAACATGTCCATTTAAATCTCCTCCAATAAAAATTCTTTTTTCAAGAGGTATCATTTGTATTAATTCTTCTAAGTCATTCCAAAATTTATCTTTAGATCCTGTATCTAAACCTACTTGAGGAGCATAAACACTTATAATATTAAAAATCTTAGTATCAATGATAATCTTAAGGACTATAATTCTATAATCAACTCTATTAATTTTTACAACATTATATTTCAAACTCTTATCTATAATTATACCTACACCATTTCTAGTGCGACTCTTACCAGAATTATAAAGTTTAAAACCTAAATTATTAATCTCCTTAGCCTTTTCTCCAACCCACTTAGTTTCTTGAATACATATGATATTAATTTTAATATGAATCATAATATCAATTAATTTCATTAATTTATCATTGAGAGTACTTATATTCCAAGATCCTATCCTAATATTAGTTTCATTAGTTTCATGGACTAACTTGTTTACCCGCATTCGCCCGTAATGTGGGAACCCATGCTTATTTAACACTACACCCGGGTGCCGGTGTAGCGGCCCTTGCACACTTTTCACTGTATTCAGTCTATACAGCGCGTCGCTTTCAGGGGACGCCCTAGCACTTACACAATGATAAAAAAGATTCATGTCATGATTTTTTTTTCGATAAGTTTTACGCTAGTTGTCGACTACCTAACACAACCCTCCACTTTTTGCATCCGGGCTTGGGACCGGCAACAACAATGTTAAATTTAAATAAAAGAAGTTAAAAATTAATTTAAAATTAAAATGGTTTTTAAATTATCAACTTAAAAATAAATAAATTTGCAAAAAAATAAAAAAAAAATAACATTTTTTTTTTCAATACAAGCATACTAAGGGAGAAAACAAAACTAATGTGTAAAATAAAAATATACGAAAAATGTTGATCGATTCCTTGTTTTTTTGTGTAGGATCACTTACATACAAACCACTCATTTACTATGTATTTTCGTATCTAACACCTAAAATTTAATTATAATATATATATATATTATCTTTTCTACTACGACGACCCGACCTGGAGCTTAGAATTAATGAAGTCGAGAATAGACGGTTGGATGGTGAAATTAAGTTTCCTATTATAGTACTTCCCTCACTAACATTTTGATATTCAAATATTCATTACAGAAACACTAAAAAAAGTATTTTAATTAATAAGTAGAAGTTTTAGCTTTCCGGTTGCTGTTTTTCCCTCCGGTACATATTAACTCACCTTCTATTCATTTTATTCAAAAGCTTAAAACATGAAAAATTTTTAAAACAATATAGTGAGTTATCTAAAAATAACCCAAAAACAATTATACTTTTAAACTATAGTAACTCAAGGAAAAAAAACAATATGCGTGGTGATTTTTTATATTTTATTTTAGAAAATTATATACTAATCTAATGTATACATGTCATTTGCTCAATGAAATTAATTTGAACTTCTGACATGCAATAAATTTAACTTAACTTTTATTTCATATTCTTAACATTCAATCTGCCTCAAAGTACCTTCAAAACATAAACTAAGACGCCCCTGACCGATATTGTTCCGTCGGCACAACAGTCTGCGATCTAATTTATATGACTTTCTGAGGTGAAAATGTGCTTACTTGCCCCTGATCGATATTCTCCCGTCGGTGCAACGATTATTGATCTACACATTACAATTATTTAGGGTGACAAGAAAACATCTACGTGTGCGGGTACCTTGACGTTTCCTGCTAGTACTATAAGACGGTGAACTCTTTTTAACATGCACATATATGCATCCATATATATATAGTACTTAATTTTTTTCATATCATGCAATCTTTTCTTATGAGCTGTGAAATGGCGGGAGGGATTAATGTTTTTGGTGGTTTGGTAATGCCAGACCGGGAGCAATGCGAGCACGTGATGGAGTTATAAGCGCTGGCTAATAGCCCTTTGTGTTGTCGTGAGATGTAGGGAGGTCAAGTAGGAGAGCTTGGTCTAGAGAGAGGAGGAGAATGGTGAGTGATTTTTCTGCCAAATATGAAAGAGAGGGGCATCACACAGTTTTATTATTATTTATTTAATTTCATGATGGCCTGCAAGTCACGGGCAGATTTCAGATATGACCAGCAGCGAGGATTTTGATAAGAAAATTTTTTTGATCTATTTTTTAAACAAAAATTTAATTCAATTAAAGTTTTAATGTGTGAATTGATTTACAATTTCTAGTCCTTCATGCATATAGACATTTCAAGCTGTCACCTCATGCATATGTAAATTTTGAATTTGTCTTGGTGCAAAATCCATTCAATATCTATATGAGGTCAATTCATGAATTTCAGCTATCATTTTTAGCTTCATTAGTCACCCATAATCGTAGCCTATATTATACAAATCATTTATTGATAAAAAAAAATTTATTCTGCTTTATAAATTCAACTTTTTTGGCTGCATTTTAATCAGCATTTTTTCGCCTGTTGAATGAAAAAAAATGCTTAAAAACTGTGCATTTTATCCCTCTATTACTTAAATCTCAACATAAAGTTGCCGTGCATGAGTTTAAACTGTGTTGCTATATAGACCGTCATTCCACATGACGCGGCTTCCGTTTTTAGTAATATTGACTTTTTCGCAAGCACCATCCATAGTTATGATAGACACTTTGTCTATTTTTGTTTAAGGTGTTAGCTTCTAAAGGCACGAGCTGCTGCTATTGTTAGGTTGCTACGATTCCAAAGACTGACAAACCCCATGAACTTGTTGTGTAACCTTTCCAAGTTCGCATCTGTCAAAAAATCTTATGTTTGCTTTGAGGTCATCATATCATTTGACTTGGTGTAATCTTGATTTTATCAATTATAACATTTGCTGCAGTACAATTAAATTCTTACCTTTCAACGTCAATGTCTTTTTGTATTGTTCTTCACTCTTCTGTTCTTGGAGATGTACTTGATATCACACTCCCAAGTGCTAATCAATGTTGCTTAATCCATGGTGCAGATTGTCTTGTACACGGAATTATATGTAAGTGGAATTCGGAATTGAACCTTGTGAATTAGTTATCTATTATTAGTTTTATTTTTTATTTTCCTTTTCTCTTTCCTATGAGGTGACCTTTCAAGAGATCTTCAACTGTGCCTGCCACTGTTATTCTTCTGCAGTCATATTGTGTGGAATTTATTATATTGGAAGGTGACAATCTTACAAGGATGTTTCCTGGTGTTGCTTTGGATTGGGGGGGCATTCACTTAGATTCTTTACATTTCTTTGGAATTTTGACTGCTTTGATTGTATTACCAACTGCTTGTCTAAGAGATCTCAGGATCATATCATATCTTTCAGGTTTGAGAGCATGGTTTTATGGGTCTCTTCTATTTAAAAATAGGACTGGGGGTCCTCTCTGATGTTTATTATTTCCTTGCAGCTGGAGGTGTCTTTGCAACTATTCTAATTTTCATTTCTGTTCTTTCTGTGGGGGCAACAGAGGGGATTGGGTATCATCAAACAGGTGAAGTTGTGAGATGGAGTGGCGTACCTTTTTCTGTTGGAATATATGGATTTTGCTATTCTGGTCATGCAGTTTTTCCAAATATATATCAGTCTATGGCTGATCGAACAAAATTTACAAGAGCGTTAGTAATATGGTATGTTAATATCTCAAAATAAATTGCCAAGTAGTTTGCTCTATCGAGTCCTATCATTTTGATCATCTCATTCTTGCTACTTCTTATCTTCAAACAGCTTTTCTTTGTGCACAGCAGTATATGGTTCTTTTGCTGCCATTAGTTATCTCATGTTCGGTGAAAGTACGCTATCACAGATAACCTTAAATTTGCCAAAGGATGCCGTGGCATCGAAGATTGCCCTGTGGACTACTGTGGGTATCTTTCTCTTGTTCTCTTTTCTATGTTTATTGATTACTCTTTTTCTCTTTTGTGATTTTTGCTATTTGATTAACCTTTTACCAGGTAATAAATCCTCTCACCAAGTATCCTTTTCTGTCTGGGAATTTGTAGCTCTTGTGGAATATGTGCATGTTATTTTCTCTTCTTTCATCCATTTCTGGAATATATGCAGAATATACGCAGAGCAATTTTAACTCTTACATAAATTATCATTTTGCTTGCACTTGTTTTGTTCTGAACCATAGTAGATTTGCACTGTTGCTTAATCCACTGGCAAGGAGTATCGAGGAGCTTCTTCCATCAGGAATCTTCAATAGTATTTGGTGCCCTGTACTATTGAGGACAGCACTTGTCGCTTCAACCGTATGCATTGCTTTTCTTCTACCTTTTTTCGGTATGTTTTTTATTTAATATATATGAAGCTCTTTATTTTGTAATATAAATGCTTTTACTCATTTTACTCGAAATGATTCTTTTGCGGAAATGACATTTTGCTTTGTTTGTCATAATAATGAGCTCTCTTAAAAAGTAGAACCTGTCTTACATAGAGAATCATGAATGCATTTCTTAGATTATGATGATAAGAAATTGTCAGAAAGTATATATTTTTTTTTCAAAATTAGTGCTGATTGGGGTGGCACCATTGCAAGTTGATGGAGATTTGTGTGCTTTTATGTAATTGAGAATGTCCATTATTAATTGACATCATTATTTTATTTTGTTTTGTAATTTCAAATGTAAGTTTTTTTAAATGTGTATGAGGACGCGACAAGGGAGTTGCTCGTGCCCGCAAAATGGTGGGAGCAAAATTCCTCCGATACACAGAATTTTGCATTGTGGAATCGGTGATCCGATCACGGGTCGTTCGTGGTTCGCAGATTCAAAAGTTTTTTTGGAACCTAAGCTCGGCAAACCGCAACCGCTTTGTCGGCACTAAAGAGTTAGGGGGGAGTTGCCCGTAAGAAGCTGTCGGTCACCATAATTTAAATCCCGTTCCCCGCTTCGGAAGGACATTTAATTTACATATATATGTATAATTTTAGAAAAATATGAAATGAAATCAAACTGATATTTCTCACAGTTTAAATGAAAGAGCGCTCTACCTCAAATC